GTATGTATATATATATATATATATATATATATATATATATATATATATATATATATATATATATATATATATATATATATATATATATATATATATATATATATATATATGTATATGTATATGTTTAAATACATACATATATATATACACACACACACGAGGCAGCACAACCAAATTAAAAAAAATAAAAGAAAATTCTTTAGTCCCGGTTGATGACACCAACCGGGTCTAAAGACAATATCTTTAGACCCGGTTGGTGTCATCAACCGGGACTAAAGATGGAGATTTACTCCCGGGTATTTGAACCGGGACTAAAGACCGCCATCTTTAGTCCCGGATTCTTCCTTCCGGGAGTAAAGGGGATTGCGAACCGAGAGAGATGAGCACTTCTCCAGTAGTGGTAGAGGAAGTGGTCATAGCCTCCAAGTCCGCGAGCGCGGAGAACGATCGAGTACATATCCATGCATCTCCTGCCTTTGCCATGCATGACGAAGGTCGAGAGTGTGTTCACCGCCAGTGGCCGCAACAAGAGCTGCTCCAACTAGTGGCGGTGGCCAGGACAAACGACGAGGTAGTTGTGCACCGTGTGCTGTTTGCGGCGGCCGAGGTGGCGGTAGGGAGGAGAAGAGGTGCGGCCTCCGCCGTTGCTTCATAGCATGCAGCGCAGGGCGAGATGGAGAAGAGGGGATGAGAGAATATGACTCAGCATAGCCCCACGTCAAGCAATTGCAATGCTGACTCAGCATCACTAATCGGAAAAGGTGCCATGTGGGACGAAATCGGAAGCTATACTGCCCGGGGACTGCTCTATTTAACTTGGTCTTATAAGATTGGGGACATGTTATGTCTATTGTGGTTGGGATGATTTTCAAACTTGCTCTTAAAATGAGGGACCAAAGGTAAACTTTTTTTTTTACTAGTTGTTGCAGCTGTTGCAAGAATAACACAGCTTCGGCCCTGCTTGGCATTGTAGCCCATTTTCCCCGATCTGACTGTTTTTGTTTTTTCAAAATTTCTGATTTTTAAAATTCTTAGGGCCTGTTTGGCACAGCTCCAGCTCCACCTCTTCTGGAGCTGGAGTTCAGCCAAACAATTTCAGCTCCACCTAAAACAGAAGCGGAGCTGAGTGGAGCTCTCTCACAAAATGAACTAGAAAGGTGGAGCTGGGTTTAGGCAGCTCCACAACTCCACTTCAGACCCAACTCCTAGAGCTAAATTTAGGAGTTGGAGCTCTACCAAACAGGCCCTTAAACTAACTTTTAGTGTTGAGCCAACTATGGATGCAGAATTGTAATTTGTAAAATTCATGCTCTAGAGAACTCAGTGAAACATAAGAGGAATGCTTTCAGACTAAAACTGAGTTGTCCAAAATTTATTGATTTTTTGGTCTCTGGGTTAACTTTGAACATAGTTTTTTTAGGGACAATTTTGTTTTTGTCCCTACTTTTTAGGGTTTTCGTTTTCGCTCCCACTTTTTTTAACCGAAAGAGGCGTTTACCCCTGATTTGGATGGAAGTTAGTGGAACCGGGTTTATGGCAGGAAATAAAGATTTTTCGAATTAGTGATTTACCTTTTACTCCTATGAAAGAGTTAACCATACAGACTCTCTCTCCTCTCATTTTTACCCCTGTCAAAATGCTGCCGAAATTTTGTCAAAATTCCATCAAATTCAAATTTTGTCCAAATTGTAATGTCAAAATATGTCATTTAATTTTAAACATATTCACAAAAATAAATTTCCAAAGCCATTGCATAATGGGGGCAAAAACACAATTAATGAATAGATATTGGAGAGGGCATAAATGTCCTATTTAACACTGTTAACTCCTTCATCCAAAACAGGGCAAAAGTATCTATCGGTTCAAAAAAAAAGTGGAGGCAAAAATAAAAACCCTAAAAAAGTAGGGGCAAAATTAATATTAGAGATCAAATTGGAGGCAAAAATGAAACTGTCCCTTTTTTATTAGAGTAATTTTATAAAATCTACAAATTTTACGAGATTATGAAAATACTTTCGATAAAATCCTAATATATTTACATTTTTAAACAAAAATTTTAAAATTTATTGATAATCTAAGTTTTGAAATTTTGACGAAAAAAGAAGTCAAACGGAGTATATTCGTGAACACGTGAATCATTTGGGTGGGCCCGTTAACGTGTGATAGGCCGGCCCGCTGAGCCCATTAACTTTTGCTGCTTTACTGCTCATGGGTTTGGACTGTGGGCCCTACGTGCTGCCCAATTGCCCATAGGATTAGCAAACCAGCTGGTGCCAAGTCAGCATGGCTGGTATTTTACTTTCCTGGGCCCACCACGACCCGGATGGGACACAGCATCCAGGTCAGCAACCAAATAATTTCAAGCACCCGGAGAGTACAATTGCCAACAGGAAGAATGATTGTTCTCTCTTTACATTTCTTTTTCTTTTATGCAGCCGTTTTATTATATAATTACCTGCTGGATTCAGCTGTTATATTTTAATTTGGTCTAGGTAGCACCACGTTCTCTAATTAAATTAGTCAAAAACGGCAATGGTCATATAGACTCATAAATAAGGTTTTTAATATTGTCCTTAACCAATTGGCTACAGCTAGCTAAATTTCATTCTATAAATGTGCCTATTATGTGGTGGAGAGATCACTGCGGAATATGTAGATGACATAAGAAGAGCATCTGCTGCAATTTTATCATTAATTTGCAACAGCAAGAGGAATGGATAGATATTATAAAATTCACTACAAAATGTTATCACACAACCTAATCTTCAAGCAGTGATGGGACGTAGGTACCTTTTCCTAATTTGGAGCAAATTGCCATGGATGACTACATTCTTGAGTGGACACAAAGAACACTGCCAACTCGATGATATCATATAAAAAGAGGTTAAGAAGATAAGAAACACTTTTGAGCTAGATTCGTAGTAAGCTACACGATATGTAAGCTAGACAAAAGCATACGAGCACCAAAATTATGTATGTTTTCCGCATTTGGTTCCTTATTGAATGCATTTTATCACTAATAATAATTACTTTCTACACATGACGATTTTGATGCTTGTTTTGTTGAAATGTAACCTAAAAAAAAATCTCTGGTCCGTTTTCAAGCCGCCTATCCTCAACACACCACACACATGTCACCGTCTCCCATCATCTCACCACCACCCGACCTCCTTACCACACCGATGTTAATATTGGCTTTTTTAACACCCATCTTGTCTTCAATCATCGTCACTTGATTCCTTTCTTCGTCAAATTCAGCAACACTACTTTTGCCCTTAAGCTACTACTATCGTTGACTGACTCTCCTCCCATATGCTATTATTCATCCTTTGTGACCGTTATCCATGCACTACCCACATAAACATACTATCAAGGTAGGGCTGCCGCTATCCCATCTATCCCTTTGAGCTAATCCCCTCTCCACCTACATCTCTATAATATAATATAGTGAGCTCACCGAAGCTAATGAAGGCGGTAAACAGATGAGCATGCAAGGTTGAAGACTTGAAGTAAATATATAAATCTCCATGTGCACACTATGATCAGAAATTTAAGGTTCCCTCATACACATGAATTTAGAAAAATATAGGAGTATAAACATAGGATTAAGATGTTATGTATGATCAAATCCCACAGAAATGTGGAACATGTGAATTTGAAATATAATGTGTTTGGATAGTTTACATGAAAATAACAAAGGAATCTAGATGTATTCTAGTGCGAGAAGAGATAAAGAGGAAAAAAATAATTGCATTGTACTTCTCCGAGGAAAATTATAATTAGGAGTATGAAATTGAGGCATATGGAAACAGTGTCAAGGAATTAATCATATATATTCCAAACAATATACTTTTGAGTTTTTCTTACACTCTTTGATCATTCGTCTTATTCAAAAAAATTTGTGCAAATATAAAAAACGAAAAGTTGTGCTTAAAGTACTTTGGATAATAAAGTAAGTAAAAAAATAATTTTAAACTTTTTTTGAATAAGACAAGTGGTAAAAAATTCAAACAAAAACTCAAAATCCCTTATATTTGGGACGGATGGAGTAGTTAGGAATTATTCTCAAACAATTTGAATCCTTTAAAATTCATATGAAAATAATCCAATCCAAAGGAGCCCTTAATCACTTGCAAATAATACATTAGTTGAAAATAAAAAAAATAATCCCGAGCAAAGCAAGCGAACCGCGCATAAAAGCGCAAAGGGCAAAAGGACCAGATCGACGTACGTGAACACATAATAATCCAACGTTTGGTGCAGTACTTGCATATCATGGCTTGTCGTGCTCACACACCCAGCTAGCCTTTTTTCCTCCGATTCTCGCCCCGCACGCGACCTCGCATTTACGACAGATCAAACCTTTTGTGCGTGCATCTCGTCTGGCATTTGTCTCTCTCTTTTTATTTTTTTTTCCCAAACCTACAGAACCAAATTCGTTTTTTTTTGCTCTTGGAATTTTCGAACGCATAAAAGAAAAAGAAAAAGAAAAGAAAAACACAAAACGTTTGGGAGCAAATTGCTGTTGCGTCCACGTCAAAAGCAGGCAGCAAATACAATAGGACTGTCGTTTCCCGAGGGAACTGTAAGATATAAAGATCGAATGTCCTTGGGATCAATTATTTTGCCCCCTTATCGGGTTCCGGATCATCCACAACCCATACCCGCATTTTCAGCAGAATAAAAAAATATACTATATTCTTCACCGTTTTGTTTTCTCTGCGCCTCAAATTTCCTTTCCTATGCCTGCAGCCTGTATCAAAAAATTTTCACAATGTGAACGAGATTTTCAAAATTCAAATTTCAAAAGTAGTATTATAAGACTATTAGGACTGTGTTTAGATTTAGGGGTGTAAAGTTTTGGTGTGTCAGGACACACATTTAAAGTATTAAACGTAGTCTAATAACAAAACAAATTACAGAATCCACCTATAAACCGCGAGATGAATTTATTAAGCCTAATTAATTCATCATTAGCAAATGTGTACTGTACCACCATATTATTAAATCATGGCGTAATTAGGCTTAAAAGATTTATCTTATAATTTACACGTAATCTGTGTAATTAATTTTTTTTTCTATATTTTATACTACATGTCTCCACATTGACAGGGTGTAGTAAAATACAGAGGGGGGCTATCGGATCCTGTGGGCTGTAGCTGAGGCACCAGAATGGGAAATGGGTCCCACCCGAACCAAATAGAAAATCCCCCTCACCTGGCCACCCGACCCCCCAACCTCTTCACCCTCCTCTCTCTCTCTCTCTCTCTCTCTCTCTCTCTCTCTCTCGCTCGCATTTGCTTGCGATTCCCAAATCCCGATGCCTCCTCTTGGCAACTAGCCCCCTCCTCCTCCTCCTCCTCCGCCTACGACTGCCAAATCCCCTCCTCCACCCGCCTCCGCATCTCCGCCATGTCGTCGTCGGCCTCCTCCACCCCTCGCGCCGGCGGCGGTGGCAGCGGCGGGAGCCAGCACACGCCGCCACTGCCCCCGGCGCCGCATGGGAACGGGCATGGTGGCGGCGGCGGAGGAGGAGGAGGAGGAGGAGGCGCGCACGTGCGGCTCATGTGCAGCTTCGGGGGACGCATCCTGCCGCGCCCGGGCGACCACCAGCTCCGCTACGTCGGCGGGGAGACCCGCATCGTGTCCGTCCCGCGGGCGGCGACGTTCGACGCCCTCGTCGCGGCGCTGGCCAAGGTCGCCCCCGCGCTCTTCCCGGCGGGCGGGCCATCCCCGGCGCTCAGGTACCAGCTCCCCCAGGACGACCTCGACGCGCTCATCTCCATCACCTCCGACGACGACGTGGACAACCTCATCGAGGAGATCGACCGGTTCCAGGGCCTCGCCGCCGCCTCCATCAAGCCGCCACGCCTCCGCCTCTTCCTCTTCGCCTCCTCGCCCGCCGACCACGCCTCCGCGGCCGCCTTCGGCTCCGTCCTCTCCGGCGCCGGCGGCGACTCCTCCTCCGACCAGTGGTTCGTCGACGCGCTCAACGCCCCCGCGCCTGCCCCCATCGAGCGCGGCCGATCCGAGGCCTCGTCGATCATCTCCGAGGTCCCCGACTACCTCTTCGGCCTCGACACCACCTCCGACGAACCCAGCCCTGGTCCCGGAGGAGCCCGCCCCAAGGTCGACACGGAGATGGCCCACGTCGAGGACGACGCGCCGGTTCTCTCGCGGGGGACGCCGCCTGCCCCGTACGTCACCGAGAGCGCGCCATGGCCGGCCCCGCCGCCGCCGTACATGACGCAGCAGGTGTACTACGTCCCCGTGCGCCCGGTCCACTACCTCGATCCGTCTTCGCAGGGCGGATACATGCCGGGTCCAGTCTACCACATTGTCGGTGGCGGAGGAAGCGAGGCGCGGGGAGATCTCTACTCCACCGGGGGCAGTGTCTCCGCCGCCGCCGGCGTCGGCGGCGTCTACGGCGTCCCGCACCCCATGCAGCCGTTCCCGCCGATGATGTACGGGCACGCGCCGCCGCCCGGCGCGGTGGTCTACTCGTCGGAGGGGAAGCCGCCGATGGAAGGTGGGGCCCACGCCTCGTAGGCCCCGCAAGTGGAGAGGAGGGAGGGAGGCAGAGCACGGCGCGGATGAGCTGTTTCCCTGGAGGAGCTGGTCCTGAGCTCTTCCATCCTCGTGATTGCATATGCCTTATTCTACTAAGGATTTTTGCATTGCCATTGCCGTGTGGTGAATTCTTATTTTTATTCTTCTTCTTTGGATGGCTTATGTGGGTTGCTGTATAGATGAGGGAGGTGGAGGATGGGATTGATATTGCAATTTTCGTCAAGTGAAAATAGATTTGCTATAGTTATTATATTTATAATAATATATTATATAAGAGTAAGTACATCTGGTGTGATTAAGTAGTAGCAAGTTAATGTAATATGGGATTCATATGTTCTATGTGGTTCCTACCTGAGGAAGTCAAAATTTTGTGTGCTGCTGGATGCTTGATGGATTAAAATGTAAACAATTCCTGTGATTATATCCATTTTCCAGATGAGTGCTGCACTGGAGAGAGAGGCCACTGGCTTTGATCCAGAGATCAATTTTGATTCGTTTGCATTGGTAATTTGTCCATTCTGTTTGTCAATTCTGATCTGTTGGTTTTGATTATTTGATGGCTGTTTGCTGATGTTAGATTCTCAACTGCCCATCTTTTCGAAGCATTGTCTGTGGACTTTGAATGGCATGTAAAGTTTAACTTTTCTTCAGAATGAAATGAATAGAGAAAGGAATGTTCGGTTATGACTTAGAACAAAAGGAAAGTTCCATTTCTGAAGAGAAAAGCTACGTCCATCCTTCAGAAATCCACAAGCCAGCAGTGGCCTATGTACCTTTTTTTCCCATATAAATAGGTTTCAGAAATCATTTTTCCATAGAAAGAGAACCAGGCCAACTTATGTTTCTCAAGGTCAAAACAAATCAAACTCATGCAATTGCTCTGAAACAATTCTCTATATATGCTATCTTATGCCCTGAATTCTTCAGTCTTTCAGTTTCAGAGTGTAGTGCAGATGCAGAAATGCCCATATTCAGGAAGACATCTAAGGTATGATCTGCTATAAAAGAGTATCCATCTCACAGATTCATAACCCTCAAAAAGGGTTACTTATGCAGTGAAAAGGGTTTTATGCTCTTTCATACAGTGTGACAGTGTGTGTACATATAATTTGGAAAAACAAAGTGAAGATGGATTTACAGCAGCGTTTCTCAGATACAGCGGACTTATAGCTACAAGCTGATCACACAAGTGAACTTTGCTGCTGATGATGATATGGATCATGTTGTTATAGCTTACGCCCACCACGGGTTGTCGCCGGTCCTGAAGTCGGTCTCCACCCACGGCACGAAGAGAACCTTGCCGTCGTCGACGTCGGCGTGCACCAATGCCAGCGACTGTGTCAGACACAACAATGCAGCTCAGCTCAGTTCAGTTAAGTAAGCAACAATTCAGAGTAAACATTAGTTCAGTAAGCAGTTGGAGGATCTTTTCATCAGCAAAGATCTAAGTTCTTGCAATTTGAGGGTTCAGTTCAGATTGAATCTTGAAATTTGAGGATCTTTTCGTTCAGCAAGAGATCAGAGTTGAGAATGTTACCAGGGGAGCAGGTCCACGGACGACCCTGCCCTGGTTGTTGTACTGCGAGCCGTGGCAGGGGCAGATGAACTTGTTCTCGGCGGCGTTCCACGGCACGACGCACCCAAGGTGCGTGCACACGGCGTTGATCCCGTACGTGGCCAGCGTCTTGTCGGCCTCCACGACGAGGTACGTCGGGTCACCCTGCACACACACACAGTCAGTCACCGGGCATCACCGTGGTCATCTCGCCATTGATCATGAGCTCTCTCACTCAGTAGTAGTCACTCACCTTGAGCCCCTGGGTGAGGGTGCGGTCGTTGGGGCCGTGTGTCTTGAGCCACTCCTCGGCGAGCACGTCGTTGCCGAGCTTGTCCTTGGCGACCTGCCCGCCGCCGGCGTTCCCGGACCTGAGGAAGAAAGAACACACCGATCCCCGGCAAAAAATATTAGCTCGGCGAACTTGCAAGTTTTGCAAGGATTGGTTGCAGTGCCACGGCGACTGACCCGGCGGGGATGAAGAAGGCGCCGTAGGGGACGAGCATGCCGACGGTGGGGAGCGAGATGGCGCCGAGCAGGAGGAGGTTCATCAGCTGGCGCTTGCCCATGTCCGGGACGCGGTCGGCCGGGATGCTGCTCGCGGCCTGGCATGTGATGGTCGTCGCCGTCCTCGGCACGCGCTCCCGGCCGAAGCCCAGGCCCTTGACGGGCTTGCCCAGCGAGGCGCGAGACCTGCACAGCTGCGCATGCAACAACGTGTTTCAGACTTTCTTAGTTTCAGTTCATCTCTGTGTGTGTGTGTGTGTGTGTGACAAATTTACAGTTGCAGTAGCTAGCACTGAATACTGGAGCGATCGGAAGGCATTCCAGGTGATCAAACTTTGTTGATCAGGTTGTACAGTTTGTGTGCCTAGGCTACTGTCATTTTTTAAGACTGAACATTGAACAATTGGTGTTTAACTGTTTATACTTAGATGTTCAACTGGTTTTTGTCTCAAAATACTTGGATTCTAAGGTTGGTTGTAATGCTTCGCTGAAGCACGATCTTTTGTAAACTTTACTGGAGTCAAAGCAATTTTATGCGACACAGATCAAATGGAAACAACACCTTAACTACAGTTTACAGAACATAAATTGTATAACTGAATTGTGAATTTTTCAGTCCATGTGTCTACATGTGGTCTCTGTTTCGTTGTCTGAATCTATTCCGCACGCTGCAATCTATCCTGGCATATATCGCGAGAACAAACAGATAACAATCATATCAGAACCGGCTAACTAGACAAAAGGAGAGAGATTGGCAGATAAGGGGTTCCAGGTACAGCCCAAGTCTTCATCACCCTTTGTTGGTTAACGCATTTCACTCTTATCCATTGAGTTCTCCATGCATATAGTGGTAAATCCAAAGATCAAACAAGATAATAGGCTACTAGTACTACTCAGGATTGGACAACATAAAACACCATGATCATGCAAATTTGCTTAGTTTCCATCCTGATTAATTAGTACTGTAATAAGTTACTAGCACATTAGCAGCTCTTTGTGTAGTACTGTAGTGTATTCTCTCCCACCCATATATCTTCCAAAAAAACAAGCCAATGACAGCCAGACATAAGGTTGCATCGAAAGCATACAGATCATGACGGTGTATACACACAAGAGCTAGCTAGCACGCAGACCTTCAGGAATGCACATAAACAGTCAGAGATCGAGAGAAGCCGCAGCAGCGAGAAGAAATTAGAGGAGAAGAGCAGACCTGAGTAGGGTTGGAGGCGGTGGAGAGCGCGGTGGAGGCCATGGCTGGATTAGCTCGGTAGCTCGGTCGTTCGGCTGCAGCGCAGGGTGTCCACAGGCTTGCAGATGAGGCCCCGGGGGTTATATTTTCCGGGGTGACGCTCGCGGCCGGTGATTGGTTGATGCGCAGCGACCCGGCCGCGATAGCCACATGTTGCGCGGGGTCGTGGCTTGGCCGCCACACGCCCACGCCCCCACACCGGGTTACGGCCTTATCGGCTCAACGCGTAAGATCTTTTTTCGCCTTGGTTGGGTTGGGTGGGTAGGATAGGAATAAGTTCACCATAGGTCCTTTATTTATCGTCCTGTCCGATTTCCATCCTCGATCTAGAAAACCGGATACAAACACATCCTCTAACTTACAAAACAAGTACAAACGAGATCACTTGGTAGTATTATTCCTGATTTTACGTGACGTGGCACCTTTGATTAGGTCTTCGTCCTACATGGCATTGACGTGACGCTTACATGGCAGAGCAAAATTGAAATCTAAAACAATTAAACAAAACATATGGGATCCACATATCAGTCAAACCAAAAAAATAAAAAAATTATGGGCCCCACAAGTCAGTGGGTCTCACTTCCTCCACCTCTTCCTTTCTACCTCATCTCCTCCTCTTCACTGGAGGCCGGCGAGGCAGCATATAGGAGACGCTGCTCCTCTCCCCTTCCGGCCGCTGCATGGTGCTCCTTTCCATAGGCGCCACATGGCAGATCCGCTCGTAGGCCTTCCCTCGGCGAGGTTGGCAAGGGGGCGGGGAGGCCAACAGCGGCGACGACATCATCGACGGGAATGAGAAGGAGGAGGGGAAGGGGAATGTCACACCCTGAAGTTCTCCTCCCAAGCCTAAAATTTAAATTATAAATGACCCTAAGAAAATGCTGGTGCAAATCAAGAGAAAACCCTAAGGAAGTAATACAAATAATAATCGAATCTAGCATGTGGAATTTTTCTTGAGTTCTACATGTCGAAATTCACTAACAGGATTTTTAGTGGAATTTTCAGAGCCCTAGAAATAATTTTAACCAATTAAAATTGAGCATGCAATATTTTAATTCCAGGGAAAATCCTTTTCTCCTTTTTCTTTTTTTCTTTTTCCCTTCCCTTTCCGAATGGGCCGCCGGCCCATTCTCTCCTTTTTCTCCCCCTCCTCCCCGCTGAGCCGGCCGCAGGCCGAGGCCTAGCCAGGCCGCCCCGCCTCCCTCCTCTCCCGGGGTCGCCGACAGGTAGGGCCCACCTGTCGGGTCCTCCCCCAACCTCCCGCCGCCCGCGCCGATCACCACCCCCGAAACCGCCGCCGTCGCGCCCCACCTCCCCCGCTTTCCCCGCGCCCGCGCCGCGTCGCCGCGCCCACGCCACGTCGCCACCCCCTCTCCCCGCGTCTCCCAGCCGCGCCCGCGCACGAGAGGGGCGGGATTCGATTTTGAATCCTCCCCCACCTTCTCTCTCTCCTTCCCCACGTCGCCGGCGAAATCGGACGCGCTCGGGTCGTTCCCGACCTTCCCGCCCCTATAAAATCCATCCCCGAGCTCTCCTCCTCGTTTTTCCTTTTGCCGCCTCTCTCTCCCGAGCTCTCCATCGTCCCCGCGCCGTGCAACCACTCGCCGCCGCCGCCCCCGCTACTCCGGCCGCCGCTAGCCGCCGCTAGGGTCGCCGCAGCGCCGCGCCGCCGTCGCCGTCGGGTTCGCAAGGACGAACTCCATCTCGTCCGCCCCTTCCCCGTCGGGATTCATCGCCGGAATTCGCATCCCCTTGCGCTCCGGTGAGTTCAACCTCTACCGCCGCCTTCGGCCATGAATGCCGGTCGCCGTGGTTTATCTCCCTCCCTCTAATCTCTCTCTTCTCCTTCCTTAGGGCACCCCGAATCCCGTCCTCCGGTTGCCGTCGTCCTCCCGTGGCTCGCCGTCGCCGTTCGCCGTCGTCTTCCTCCGCGCCGGCCACCCTCGGTGAGGCGCCCTCTCCCCTCTATTCCCCTCCCTCTCCCTCCTAGCCGCCGCTTCAGCGCCGCCGCCCGTTAGCCGTCACTTTAGCACCCCCGCCCGTCGGCGCCGCCTTTGCGCCGCCGCCTCCGCCGCCGGTTGCCGTCGCCGGCAACGCGTGTGCGCGCGCCGTCGCCGTCGCCGTGGCCGCTTGGCCGGTCTTGAGCCGAGCCGGGTCGCCACCGCCCGTCCGATCGGCCCCGAGGGCGATCTGGGCCGTCGGTCCTGTGGACCGGCGATGGACCACCCGCGTGGTCCCGGTCCACGGTGAACCGCCCCCCCCCTGAGCCACTGCCGAGTGGGCCCGCGTGCCGGCGCCCCTTTCCTCCCTCTCCCGAGCCGCTAGCCAGTGGGGCCCGCGTGTCGGCGCCACCCCATCCCGTGCTGACGTCAGCCCTGGAAGGCTTTATTGCGCAATAATTCATTAAGGTTTTTCTTTTATAGTAATAAATACAGTGAATCTTCTAAAATTCATAACTAATTCATCCGTGCTCCGTTTAAGCCCATTCAAGTCTCAGTAAATCAAGAAAAATGTGTAGAATCCATTAAAAATGGTTTTGTTCTCTGTTTCAGTAGTCTTATAGCCTGTTTGCAATGTTTGCCTTGTATGTCGCTAGATTCCGGTTCTTCCGACGCTCCGGTGTACTTCGAGATAGTCGCCGAGGTTTCTCCCGCAGCAGAGCAAGGCAAGTCATGCTTGTCACTTGATCATGTTGATCCTATATTGCAAATGTCCTAATGTTTTCTTTCAAATACTGCATTTTGTCTTGCAATAATACTACGGGATGATTACCTATTGTTACAGCCATGCTATTTTGATACCATGCTCCTTTGTTAGCTTGGGTTATAACATGAATAGATTTTGGACTAGGAATTGCTTAGCCATGCTTAGTTCCACTAGCACACAATGGGGAAAGCTCACTAAAATATAGCCTTTAGGTTCAATTGGTGTTGTTGGATTAGTGTCACCATTTTGGTGTTGGTTAATTAAAATGAATCACATGGTGGGTTGTGGGTGCATGGTTTTGCTGGTCGCACCCATGGCATTTAAAGACCGGTTCGCGGGATGCCCTGGAAGAACTTATCGTACTTACCACAAGCCAGCGTGGGCAACGGCTGGGATTGTAGTGTAGCTTTCCTCTAGCTGACGCATCCAGGCAAGGGTGGGCGTGATGGAGCGGGGCGGGCCCTGCGACGGCCTCTGTCGCTTCCGGATTCACCTAGGCACGAGAGGGGACTGCCCGCTGCCTTGCGAGGAGTGGGGGTGAAACCTGAGGTGTGGTGTGCTTGGTTAGAGGGGGTTATGCGAAGGGTCCTGTCACGGCCTCTTTCCGGTATGTCGTGGTGGCATGTCGGCGCACGGAAACGTGTCGTGGGGCTGTGTCTTATGGGTACAGTTGTACACCTCTGATCAGAGTAAAACTATTCGAATAGCCGTGCCCGCGGTTATGGGCGGTCAACCAGATTCACCGTGATTAGTTTCACCCTAGTTTAGTCTAATGAAATTGGATAGTATAGGTGGATGGTTGGGCCTGTCGCAACGTGGTATAGCGTTGGACAGTGGATGAATAATATTGATTAATTATTACAACTGTTTAATTCTTTCAACTTCTGTTTATAAATGCTCGCTTTATGCAAATGAACCACTCTAGCTCTCCTTTGATAATTCCCTACATCATACCCCTATCCCGGTATGACTTGCTGAGTACAGTGGGTAGTACTCAGTCTTGCTCTATTTTTTCCCAACCCCAGAGTACGAGTATGTGTCAGATGGAGGTTTCTCCGAGGAGTAGGCTTCGTCCATACCGTCGAGGATGCCTGTGGAGTGGTGTTCCCGCTGCAGTTCTAGTCAAGGCTTAGCTCCTGTTGTCTTTCGTTTTTCCGCTGCATTTATGTAAGACTTTTATGATGTTTGTAAGACGTGGATCTGAATATCAACATTGTCGTTTGTGTACCCCAGCCGGTCCTGGACGGGGATTTTAATGCACATTCTGCTTAGAATTCTATTCGGGAATTTCTGGGCATGACAGGGAAGTCCCCTACTCCGGCCAGCCGCGGGCGCTCTTCCACACGATCCTCCTCTCTCCCACTGGACGCGCCACAAATCCACTCACTCGGCCTCCACCCAGCGAGGGGGCGGGGAGGCCGACGGTGGCGATGACGTCATCGACAGGAACGAGGAGAAGGAAGGGAAGAGGAAGGCCCCCGCTCCGGCCGGTTGCAGGCGCTCCTCCTCTCTCCCGTTGGCCCCGCGCGACGCTCCTCTCCACCGCCACCGTGCCGCAAATCCGCTCGCTCGGTCTCCGCCCGGTGAGGCTGGTGAGGGGACGGGGAGGCCGGTGGTAGGCGATGCCGTCATTGACGGGAACAAGAAGGAGGGGGAAGGGGAAGGCCCCTGCTCAGGTTGGCTGCGGGCGCTCCCCCGCCCGGCTGCCGGGAACACCGACACCGACCTTTGTGTGTTGGATCTCATCAGCGACCTCTCCCTTTGCCCCCGACGCGGCGACCTCTTCCTCTCCGCCGGCGTGGCGCTCCAGCCGGCCATCCTTCCCTCCACCGCTTGTTGGATGCCATCCGGGGAAGAAGCAAGAAAAGACAAAAAAAAAAAGAAGGATAGAGAGGAGGGGAGTAGTGAGGATGGCACGTGGGCCCCGCCATTTTTATTATTTTGTTTGTGTACGTGATACGTGGGTTCCATGGATTTTATTATTTTGCTACATTGAATTGCCACGTAAGCGCTACGTCAATGCCACGTGGCAACGAAGATCTAGTCAAGGATCCATATATGTGCCATGTCAGCTAAAACCGAGATTAATACTGCTGAGGGCCGAGGGACCTTGTTTGCATGGTTTTATAAGTTGGGGGATGCATTGTATCCGGTTTTCCGGATCGAGGACGAAAGTCAGACTGGATGACAATTTGAGGGACCTAGAGTAAACTTATTCTGGTGGGGTAAGTGTCCAGCACATATTAATTCTTGGATCGGTTGGGAAGGCCCAGCAAAAGATTTATGGATTGTCGAGCGCCTCGGTTTCGGCCCACTATTTGCGTTGCCCTGCATGATTTGAAAAGCGTACGTATGCCCGCAGCTGTAATAATTGTGCCGCCTGCATGGGGCGAAAAAGCGTGCCGCGCCCCCC